AGACCATTGACCTCGCATCCCTACAAAGCCGGGACGGAGAACGCCGGGTTCTCACCAGACCGNTTGCCGAGTTCACGAAGTGAGTTGGCTTGTTTTACAACGTCGTTGCCAAGAGACGAAAACCCAACAGCGGGGGGGACAGGCAGGGGGGTGGNTGAATTAATTTACTTTCTGGTGCTTTCACTTCCAGAGACAGGTGTAAGCACTGTGTAACTGCCTCGAGGGTGCTTGACCATTTTAACGCACNGTATTCGGCGAGTCGCATGAAGGGTGCGCTGCATCTTGGTAAGGGTGTTCGGCATCTTGTGCTGACGTCCTTGCGTACGGATGACAGCTGCGTATGACTTAATTTGTTTCTGGTGCTTCACGNAAATTGTCTTGCTTTACAACGTCATTGCCAAGCGACGACAACCCAATCCCGATGGCAAACACCGGGGGGGTGGCTTGTTTTACAACGTTGTTGCCAAGCGACGAAAACCCATCCTCGATGGCAAACACCAGGGGGGGGGGCGGGCAGGGAAAAAAAAACGGTAGGGTCTAACCCGACCCAAAACAAGCACGCGAGGGGCGGCGTGTGAGCATGCGCACGACGAGCGGTGAAAGGGAACTCAACTCTGTTTCGAGATTCCCGCACCTGTGATAAGGTTGCCGCCGAGGTAGAGCACCCGAAGGGCGCGGAGTGTTCCCAGCTCCCGGGGGAGCGCGCCTGCGATGGCAGTTGTTGGAGGCGACCAACGCTCAGAATCTTTCTCTTGGTGGAAAGTTACCTACCGTCTGAAATAGGACCCAATCGATTTTCTCGTTTCGCGACCGACTGTTGGAAGATAAGCCGGGAAGGTTGGATCAAGCTTGCCCTCGGACGAACAAGACACGACGGACAACCGGTAAACATCCGGTCAAAAATCCGACTTCTGGCGACAAACGGGAAAAATCGCCTCCCCAGGAAAGTTCCCATGCCGAGGCTTCACGCGGGTCACTCAATTCTTTGCCAATGTCGAGAAAATACTTGACGGTGGGGTCGAGAACTACGGACAAGACAAGGCCGCCATGTTTGAGAACTCACCACCCAGCTTGTTGCGATCCAAGTAGAGCCGCTCAAGTTTGCTCAGGTTCCCAAGCGCGGCAGGGATGGTGCCTGCAACCATAGCAAAGTTGCAACCGCACCAAGGTCAGGCACAGCAGAAGCAAACTCTGGGTTTGGCTGACGAGTGGAGAGACCGTAAGTCATGGTGAGGCGTCCTTGTCGGATTAATTTGGAAGGGTGGAGAAAAAGTGTCTGGGGCGCAGCAAGTCGGATGTGCTGTCATCGCTGTATAGTCTATAGCGCATGCAAAAGCACACTCCGTGACCGGCCGAACAGGGTGACGTAACTGGTAGGCCGAGTGTTGTGTCGCGATGGGTAGTGGTAGCGTTAGCAACTTATGTCAGGCATGCCATATAGGCCCCATCTTGACGAAACTTATACCGATCCTCGGCTCAGTATTGATTCTTTCTCGGCACCACAACCGCCAAACTACACCGAAAACCTCCCTTTGCGGAGCAAGCATCTCACCCGTAAGGTCGTTGTCTTGAAGGTTCAGCTCCCGCAGCTCTCGGAGCCCACCCAGCTCCGGAGGGATGCGACCTTCTCAGGAACATTGAGTTCAGAGGGTTAGGGTCCCCGGTGAGAATTTCGGTGCGGTATCAAACCGGCCGAGTTCGGCTTGAGGAGTCATGAGCCCATATAAAATTCGCTGCGTCACACCATTCCAGTGTTTTTCAAGGTGCTACCGACCCACGAAACAGAAGCTCACCGACCAGTCTGTTGCCCCCGAGGTTGAGCGTGGTCAAGGCGGTGAGGTCCCCAAAACTCCCCGGGATGACTCCTGAAAAACGTGAGGCCGGAGAGCAGAGATTTTGAGCACCGAATGGTATCCGGTACGCTGCGGGTTGCGCCAAAAGAGACACCTTCCGACTGTGCGAGGTAGAGTGAAATTAGCTTGACGAAGAGTCCCTTCCGCACTATGGCCGTTCTAACTGTTTCCCAACCACGTTCGGTAGGGTGAGTACGGCGCTGCTTCTGAGCTCGACAAGCACAACCACCAGAACGCGACAACGACGGAAACGAAACCGCAAAGGTTGCCACTCTCATTGTAGGCTGCAGCAATCATCGGACAGTTGGCACGGATCGGAGAAGTCGGAGAGTTAGCACCACAGTAGTGCGACAAAAAAAGAAAGATAGTGCCATGACCACTGTCCCATTCAATCCCCACTGGTTGAGAGGACCGACGGAAGGACGCTCTCTATCTAGACCTTGCTGGTGAATCTCGATTCCGTGTTCACTCACCCCCGAATGCGTTTCCATTGAGGTCTAACTCTGTTAGCTGCAGCACGTCCCCTAGCGAAGGTGGGAGCGAGCCTGCGGAAAGAAAGCACGGTAAACTGGTCAGAACCGTTCGGACAGCTGTTTGTGAAAGCGAAGCAACTGCAATGCGGCAGGGGATCTCTCGGCAACCACGTCCGGACACCCGTTGGAAGGGCCAAGGCGAAACGCTCACATGAGGTCAACTTGAAGGTACTCCAACGCTACGGCCGAGCAAGCCGAGACCCCAAGCATCACTCCTTGCCTTTCAGCCCAAAACGCCCGAGGTTCAACCTTGAAACTTCCAGTTTCTCTCGAATGTAGCCCAACTCTCCGTTCAAGAAGCCGGGGTCCACTTGCATGACTTGGAAGGCGGTTGCCACGAGACGCTTGGAATTTCTCTCGGTAGGCATTGCGGCATTCTCCGCCCCAAACCTGTTCACGAGGACTGCGAGACTGGCCGCGTTGGCAGCCAGCTCCTCGGCCTTGTGTCGGGCGTTCAGCAGGTGCTGCACAACCCCGGGGTCCGTGTCTATCATGCGCAGCTGCGACGACATGGGCAGATCCGTCCGGGTCGCGAACCCCTCCGCCATCTTGGCCAGCAGCGCGAACCCAGCCGTGGCGATGTTCAGCACGCCGGCCACCGACGTCGGAGAGGTCACCCAGGTGATCACGAGCTGCGGGATGTCTTCGACGACCACGTTCAGCAGCAGCTGCCAGCCCAGGGGGACGTGCTGCAGAGGGCTGAGGGCCCTACCCCTTCGGCACCACGTCCACGCTTGGCTGACGGGGTGAAACTCCAGCGTGAGCAGGACGTACATGACGGTGCCGACGACGGTGAGCACGAACGCGACGTCAGCGACGAGCTCCTGCGCGTCTTCCAGCCCTTCCTGCAGGAAGTACCAGTCCGCGAAGAGGTCCAGGTCTGACACCACCGACGTCAGGACCGTCAACGGCGTCACCTTCTCCCAAATGGCGCTCCTCTTGAGGGTCCTCCTGAGGTCTTCCGAATTGCCACCGGCATCCGTGAACGGTGAGCCCATGCTGTCTTGCCCTGCCGGAGAGGGACAGACCTCGAAGGGCGACGCGTGATTTCTCTTGTTTCCGGCGTGCCGGCTACTACCGGTGGTGCCGTGTGTGCGGTACTGGCCCTGGCGCTTCCGCTTGACAAGGTCTAACGGGAGAGCTGACGCCAGCGAAGCTTGTGTTGATGCGACATGGTCTTCTTCGTCCACGCGGGTATGCTCGCCACTCGATTCGCCCACCCATGTCTGCCCCTGGGATGCCCGATGCTTGACGTTGGTCCAACTGCAAAACTCGTACCACAGATACAGACACGCCAGGTACGCTAGCCGAAGCATTCACGTAGATCGCAAGGGACGTATACGCTCACTCCTCGCTTTTCCCTGTTGCCAGAAGGCGCAGGAAAGAAGGACGAAGCGGAAGTTGTCACACTAAATGGGCACCCAAAACGGAGGCCTGCAAAACTCAGATGAGGGCTGGAGAGCCAAAAGACTGCTGTGATCAACAGGAAAACGAAAGCGATGAGGTGTTTGTTGCCCGGAAAGGCGGGAATTGGCTCTCGTTTGGAGAAATATCAAATGCACAAGCGACCGATTTTCGGGAAACGGGAAGACTAGATTGGTATCGCACCCCCCAGTTGGTGACCTCAATGTTGGCATCTTCCTCGGCAGGGCCGCATACACTTAAATAGCAAGCTTGTCGTGCAGCACCTCACACGTGTCGCTCGCTACCTCCATGTATTGATTGTGTGCGCTTGTCAACTTTTCACTGCCCATAGTGTGCGATGTATTGCTGTAGAGCGCCAACGGCCTGCACGGGCAAAGTTTGTTGTAGAACAAGGCTGAGGATGATGCTTGGACCACTGCATGCAAAATCTGATGCTCAGCAATCGTTATGTCGGCTGATTTGTTGTTACGGCTCCCCGTGTGGTAAACGTGGTCTACCGCTCCACCTGTTTGGCAGCCCCTCTACTGTACACCTCCCGCCAGCAATTTTGAATCTCAAGCTAGCCAATGTGGTTGCACATTTAGTACTACATAAAATGCAGGTCTTTTAGCCTATGTCGCCAAAAAATCTGTACGTGGTTGACTCCTCCCGATGACATGAAAGCAGTCCCTAATGGCCGTGGCGGGATGCGGTGGGTGAACCTCGGGTTCATCAGGGCACTTCCGCTGAATTTCTTTGTAGTGGTATCGGGATAACATTCGGTTCACCCACACACGCAGGCCACAGGCACAACTTCCGAGACTGCATCCATCTCGGCCAGCGATCACCGATTTACCTTATTGTACTCGACAAAACCGAAACCAAACCACCTGACATGGCTCAAATCTGCGATATCCAATTTACCGACCAGAAGTGTGTCAAGTCGGAAAAACTCATCTCAGGAGAGATACGCGTATCTCCACAACTTGCCACAACCAACAGCCGTCGTACCTGGGCTGGAGATGTGGCACGCGCCCACCGCGTGGGAAATTCTTCTCTCTCTCTCTCTCTCTCTCCACCATACGATGAGTTGCGCGCTGCTGTTGGTGTGTGTGGTATGGTGCTCTTTGCCGGGTGGTCCACAACAGCACCTCTAGCAACCCGATAACCCGATTGGCCCTTGCACCGCGACTGTGCCGTCATCGAAAACGCCTCCGTTCACATCTTGTTGATTCTGTTCTAATATCCCCCCGCTCAAAGCTTTCGGCGCCGCGCGACGGTGGGTGTGCGAGAGAGATCAAGAGGAGTTTGCGAGTTTCGGGCAACATTGGTTAAGAGTAGCATGGAACTGTCGGAGCTGCAACTCTCCTACCGTAGTTACAATCGGCTGCTGTGTTGGCTTTTTGGTTTGCAACAATCGACACATGGCAACACATTCCGGGGGTGGAGATGACATCATGTAAGCTGCGCTTGTCCGTCGAGCGCTGTAGTGCTAATCCTAACGAACGAGGTTTGCGTGTTTTTCTCGTATTCGACCAAGGTGTTTTCGTGATGCACGGGATGCGAGACCCGCTGTTGGTGGTTCGGACACAATATGTACTATAAACTTATCTCAGGCGTTGCAAGCGAACGGGTTGCTCATCATCATCAAACGACTCACAGAGCGCCGAGACACGAGATGAGTACAGCAGTGCTCGGGCGTCTCATCATACCGCAATCCTTTACACCAGTAGTGTTCGTACACACAACTGGCGTGACGAGTCAATCAAGCAGATGGAGGTACCTGTAAACACAGCTAAATACTGAGCACACCTTATCTCGTGCAAAATTTGGTTGGAGCAACATCAACAACACGGAAAACGAAACGGCCACCAGGTACGAGCGCGAACGGCGCTTCCTTCCTTTCGATCCCATCGCCATACCAGCACAATGTTACTTCTCGTCGAGGAAATAAGCGCGCCACGGGGTCGTGCTCACCACGAGAGACGCAAAACAAATACAAATGAAAGCAAGTCGCCCCGACAGCTCAAGACACAAAAAGGAACTTGAGACCAGCCACTAGAATACAGACAAAACACCTCTGCAACTCCCAGAAACCTCCAGCGCCATCTCCCTATCGCCCGGATCACCACTTGCCCATCTCGATCTCCTCTTCCACGGTGCTTGCGCCCCCCTCCCCTATGCCGAAACGTACGCATGTCCGTCCATATAAACACACACGAAACACGAAGGGCTTTACCCGAAACACTTGCGACGGAGTGGCGCTATCGTCCAGGCCTCCCGTGCCGCGCGCCGCCGCGGGCTCTCCGATTGTACCGCCCGTGCATGCCGTTCGTAAACAACCACGTCCCTCACGATTACACCGCGTCCGCCAAGACAGACTACACTTGTGCTGTTGCATGACAATGACACCGACATCAAGAAAAACCCTCAAGCAATACTTCCATCCATCCTTTAGCGGCAGTACTTCATAGGTGAACTAGTTCGCCGTTCAAGGAAAAGCCACGCCTTTCGTCGTTATTCATTTTCCCACGCCGCGCGCCCCCTTTATCGACTTGACCCTGTCTTTTATGCTTCCCCACAATCCTCAAACACAGGAGCAGCTAAGAGAGACGATAGACCACGAAATGGCTGTCGAAGAGCGACAGGCCGAGGGATCACCGCATCATATGCACCAGTATCCATATCTTCCACATCCTCTTTCGAGCCGTATGGACCTACCGCCGCCTTATTGAGCAGCCAATAAACTACGTGGACCCCATAAACCAAATCATAAACACCTGACACTCGCGCATATTCGCATCTCTTTGGTAGGTGTTGCCTTGGAATCAACTCTTATCTGTATCGCTGCACCCGCATAGGCAAGAAACACAACATCAAGTACACGACCACCCCCAACCCCTTGCAAACCTGGACCGACCCCCTCGGTCACCGGTTCGTGTAAAAAATAGTTCGCCCTCAACCCCCGGCCCTAGCTACTCTTTACACCCCCCCTCCTCACAGAGGTTGTTCTTTCTCCTCCCCCTCTCCTCTCCATTTTTCACTAACAAAAGGACCTTCGGCCCCCCCTTTTTCACACCATCACTTTGTTCTATCCAACAGGTATCGTGCATGTGTTCCCCCGTGGGCGTGCACGTATCGCCCCCGGCTGCCGGGACGGTCTACAACGCCACAGTGTCAACACTCCCCGAAACGCCTGCCCTTCGGTGGACGCACTCCCCGCAGGGTAAAAAGCGCCTACAAACGTCCCCCTCTTTTTCAAAAAATGCCTGTACCTTTTGCCGGAAGATGTTCCGTCGCGACTATAAGCTAAACCAAGAGAGAAGACCACACACATGAATCTAGAAAGCGCCAAACACAGCAGTCCGTCCGTCCACACGCGCGCCTAAAATTATTCACCCACATGGCCGTTTGACGAGGCGAAGCGCCCGCCGCCTCAGACCGTCAGCACCTCGGAACACATCTCGCAGCAGCTTCTCTCCCGAGAGGGAAAAGCGATCTCACGCGCCGACCGCCACCGGATCTGCCGCCGGAACCGAGTCTCCAGAACCCCGTTGCGATTCAACGCCATTCCCCCCATTACCACTATCACCGCCGGTGCCGCCTACGGCGGCTCCGACTGGCGGTGCTTCTGCCGCCGCCGCTGCTGCTGCCGCCGCCAGTGCGGCCAGTTCCACGTTTTGTATGAAGTCGATGGCGTTCTTGGTCGAAACGCGGTCGGCGATCATGACAGGTACCCCGTTTGAGACGATGTGGTTCACCTGGGTAGCGACGCGATCCCAGTGGAAGGACTTGGGTTGGTTGGTTGGTTGTGGGGGGGTGTACTCATGGTCGTGCATGCCGTAGTCGTTGGACCATTGACCTTGCATCTTTACCAATGCCGGGACGGAGCGATATCCCAGGTTTCCGCAATCTGGGGGGGGGTGGGGTGGCTTCAGAGCTCGAGGAAAGCTCGGACATATCTCGGCTGCTCCATCGAAGCAGTGCCTGTGCCTTTTACGTAGCACGGCCTGAAGAAAGTTCGCGCCCTCTCCACGCTCAAAAAAGACAATGTATCAATCGAAACATTCGGGGTCCCAAGTTTAAGAATTTCAACTCACAATGTTTTCGTTTGCGACAGCAGATTGTGCGAAATTTCCTGGGGAATTCTGCCAGACACTCTCGCCATTAACTCATTTGGTCACCAATCCATAATCTGTGATAACACCGGTCATTTGACACGTGTCCCGGTTATGTCGATATCAAATTAGCTTTAATCATAACGGTGGCAAGGCTACGGTCAAAGCCATGCGCCGACTTCCTCCCTCGTGCCCAGGCTAACGTTGATGGTGAAACAACACAGGGAGCTACGACAAGAGGTGGGACTGCCGAAGAGTGTGCATGAAAATATCGGGCGAAGACGCAAAATGCCCAGCGGTGTCTCTCTTTTGGAGCTACGAACCAGTACCACGTCCGTCTCGAACCAGAAGCGTTGCAGCATGTAACATGTCACAGCCCGCACTGTCATTATTTGATACCCCGCCCTCCTTCTCACCGCTCCGTCCTCTCGAGGACGCGTGGTCAATGATCTACCAGCTAAGGCATGCAAACCATGAGGAGTACGTCCGTTTTCTCACCGTGGTCATCTCGGTCCGAGTAGGATCGCCATTGGCAGGCCTTAGAATCGTCACCCCGAGCAGGATCTCGCTCCTTACGTGACCGTCTAGCAGTGGCGCCTGCGGCCGACAACATCCAGGAGTGGGAGAGGGAGAGAGAGAGAGAGAGAGAGATAGAGAGAGAGAGAGAGAGAGACAGACAGTGGCAGAAAGGCAGACAGACAGATTGGCAGACAGACAGACAGAGCAACATCCAGGAGTGGGAGAGGGAGAGAGAGAGAGAGACGGACAGGCAAAAACAGAGACACAGAGAGAGAGAGAGAGAGAGAGAGAGAGAAGTTAGACCAACACACAACCGTCAGTCATCATAAAAAGAAGTTCCTCAAAGGGCGTGATCGAGGTCCGGGAAGCGGTTGGAGGAGTGGCCGACCAAGGGTGAAGAAGGCAGAGCGAAAAAGCATACTACAGGGGATCATCAGGATAGAGGGGGGGGCNCACAGGACCGATCACCGATGGCCAATCGTTCCTTTCTACTTTGCCAAAGGTGGCTCAAAAATGTCTTCCCTAGTCTGTCTATCCTAACGATATCCCTTCCCGCCTTTTCAACCCACCTCCTATGCCCCAGTACAGCTACCGTCCTTTCCTCTCTATTCCATGCCTCGAACATCTCCCTGTACGTTCCATCTATTTTACCCAGCTCAGTCACGTGCACTTCCCTCTCCTTCTTGTACGACGGACATTCCGCGACTACATGAACACGGTCTCAGGATAGAGGGGGGCGACCGATTGGTTGCCATGCATGACGACCGCATCTGCGAGCACAAAGGCAACGTTTCGTGTGTCCCGAGTCTTGCCAGCTATCCCCACCCACCCACCCATCAGAACGGGGCGGAACAAACCCCACGAGCCTCAGAATAAATCCCATCTGCGTGAGCCCCGCCCTTCACGCCTAGCAGTGGAGCGAAGGTTGCACCAAATACTCACGGTATCCAGAAAAGAAAGAAGGAAAAGAAAAAGAAAAAAGGAAAAGCAAGAACAACGGAAAACAAACGATACAGCCGACCCGTCCGACCCGACCCACCTTGGGGTGCTCCGTGGCCCGGGTGATGAGCATGAAGGATCCTTCCTCGTCGTCAAGAGGCTGCATGTGCATCAGGGTGCAGAAGTCGTGGAGCTTCTTGGACAGGGGCGGCTGCGCCTTGTTCCAGACGATCTTGGTGTGCGGGCCGAGGTGCTCGATGTCCGTCCTCCCCTTGCTGTACCTGATTCCATTTTTTTTTTTACGGTGTTGGTGGTTGGTGCTCTTGCTTCTTCGCCATCGTGTACGAAGTACATATTTAATGGTCAGCACTACATGCTGTCGTCGTCTGCAACTTTTACTCCCGCGATCTCTGCCTCGATTTGCAAGGGCTCAGTCAGGCCCGGGCTCGCAAGGAGAGATCCATCCATCCGGATCACGATCCGCACCTCCCTTGACGGCGAACGCCTGTGGCACATGGTCTGGAAGCTCCACCGATGTCAACTCCGACCCTTTGTGCCTCTCTTCTTGTAACTCCCCGTCCGTGGTCGGGTTGATGAGTACTCTGATATCAGCGCCATGTAACCTCCGGAATAAAGCCAGATCTGCTCCATCGCAGACTGGCAGAATCTCATCTGCTTGCCAGAACTGTCTGTGAATGTGGTACGTCTTACCCCGTTACGTGTTTGTTGTGCGGTGGGCTACACAACTTTAGGAACAACAACCGCCCGGGAGACGACAACCAATCGAAATAGCAGCCACGCGACGCGCACCTCACCTGTTGTACTCCAGGACACGGGTGGAGTCGACGATCATGCTCATCACCTCCGCCGCGGAGCCCTCGATGATTCCGCGGGCCTTCACGCAGGGATACTGGTAGCCGTACTCATCCTGACCGCAGCAGCAGCAGCGGCAGCGGCAGCGGCAACCCAGCAGCAGCAAACACGCAAGAAACAACAGCAAGAGTTGGGGCTTCTTGATCTTCTACAACTACTACGAGGACGACTACAACAACAAACAGCCACCAGCAGCAGCAGCATAGCAGCAGCAGCAACAACAACATAACAACAAACAGCTACCAGCAGCAGCAGCAGCATAGCAGCAGCAGCAACAACAACATAACAACAAACAGCTACCAGCAGCAGCAGCAGCATAGCAGCAGCAGCAGCAACAACATAACAACAAACAGCTACCAGCAGCAGCAGCAGCAGCAGCAGCAGCAGCAGCAACAACATAACAACAAACAGCTAGCAGCAGCAGCAGCAGCAGCAGCAACAACATAACAACAAACAGCTACCAGCAGCAGCAGCAGCAGCAGCAACAACATAACAACAAACAGCTACCAGCAGCAGCAGCAGCAGCAGCAACAACATAACAACAAACAGCAACCAACGGCAGCACCACCACCACCATCAGCAACAGCAACAGCAACAGCAACAGCAATAACAACATCTGGATCGTCGGGACCACCGCACCTTCGGGAAGTACTTCTTCCAGACCGTCACCCCGCCGCGGTGGGCCACCTCCTCCCATCCAGGCGTGCCTAGGGCCCTCTCGGCGCTTTCCTGCAACGTTGTCACGCACACACACAAGACAAGGTTTCAGGATGATACGACGTGGCAAGCCGGACCAAGAGCAGCAACCGCGGGAGGGTAAATCACAACAACATCATCAACAACGACAACAGCAATAACATCAACAACAACGGGAAGCATTACACAACATCGACAACATAGCAACAACATCGACAACAAGAACAAGAACAAGAACAACGACAACGACAAAACGATGATAACAAGAGACGAATCACGGGCACGATGCCACCAAACAAGCGGCGGACAAAACAACGTCGCCGCGGTGAAGGAGGAGGGAACAGCAAGCGAAGCAGCAAACACACTCACCTGAGCAAGCTTGAGCTCCGCGAGATACTTATTGGTGCTCTCCGCCACGGGGAAAGCCTCCAGCTCCCTCTCGCCCCCTTTTCGCGCGATAACCGCAAAAAAACCACCCACCTTCCTCGGCAACTCCTGGGCCACAAAAAGAAAAAAACGTGACGCACCCGTGCTTCAGCCTGCATGGACAAATCTCTTATCTCTATTTTTGTGTCTGTTGTGTATTCGTCTCTGGCGCCAGGCTACGGTAAGAGGCAGAGAAATGGCACCCTCCCCTAGACCACTTTTCAAAGCTCGATTGCTCCACAACCAAGATCGTCTGTACCGTACCGTATACCGTACGTGGTATTCCGTAAGAGGCGGAGAGATGGCACCCCCCCCTACACCGATTTCATGCTCCACAAACAAGATTGTTCCACCAACGATGGTGACTTTGGAAGCATCTCGTCGGGGGCTCTCCGTACAACTATCGGGCACATTTCCGCGCCCCTTCGGTTGTGGAGCAATCGACGTTTGAAAGTCGACGGAGGGGGGGGGGGGGCCATACCTCCCCCGCTTACGGTACACACGTTTCGGTGCACCGCGGCGATGGTGAAAGAGATGGGCGGTCCAACTGACGCAGCGGGATGAAAATTCAGGAGGGGGAGGGGGGGGGATGCTCATAGCCATGCATGCCGTAGTCGTTAGGCCATCACCTCGCATCCCCGAGAAAGCCGACGGAGTACGCCGAATTCCAACCGGATCAGGCTAGCATATTAACAAGCGCGAAGCGCCCTGAGGTATTCGGCGAGTCGCATGGAGGGTGCGCTGCATCCTGCTAGGGGTGTTCGGCATCTTGTGCCTACTTGCTCGCATACGGACGACAGCAGCGAATGACTTATTCTCTGATGAAAAACCGGGAGGTTGTAACAAACATATTTTCGCGTTTTCTTGCCTTCAGGAAACGCCTTTTGGGTTTTAAAGATGCCAATTCTTTCGGTCTTCTCTACGCTGCAGCACGGTGCTTCCCAACACGAGGAAAATAGGGAAAAAGCGCTGGTGGTTCGTAGAAACGCTGGTGTCGAGAAAGCGAGGTCCTCCGGATGGGCTATGGTTATGCCGCGGCGGTACGATGTCACTTGTTTTTGTAGCTCCGTCAACACAGACCATTGGCCACGCAAAAAAAAACAAGAAACTAACAACAAGGACGAGGACTACCAAGATGACAACAGCGGCAGTAGCAGCAGCAACAAAAACATCACCATCCAGAACAACATCAACAACAACTACTACAAGAAGCTCACGTTGACCGGTTGCAAGAAGGTGGCGAAGGTCTCTCGGATCCCCTCCGTCGCCTCCTCCAGCCCCTCGAGGAACCCTTCCAATCCCCTGAGATCGCCCTCCCCCTTCCTCCTAAACGAACCCTTGTTCCTACTCCCGCCGCTGCTGCTGCTGATACCGTCCCCGTCGTCGGCCCCCGACTCCCGTCCCCTCTTTCTTCTCCTGCTCTTCTTGTTTCTCTTGCTCTCGAGCAGCCCGCCACCAGCCTCGCTGATTTCGTCCAGCCTGCACGAGCCGTGTTTGCGTTGGTTGGGCAAGAGGCGACGAAATAAGGACAGAGAGGTGTTGCCATTGGTGGAGGAGGGGGGGGGGGGTACTCTGATGTTTTGCATGCCTTAGCGGTTAGACCATTGACCACGCGGTCTCGAGAGGACGGAGCATTGTTCGCACAGGACCGATCACCGATGGCCAATCGTTCCTTTCTACTTTGCCAAAGGTGGCTCAAAAATGTCTTCCCTAGTCTGTCTATCCTAACGATATCCCTTCCCGCCTTTTCAACCCACCTCCTATGCCCCAGTACAGCTACCGTCCTTTCCTCTCTATTCCATGCCTC